CCAGCAGGAGTCACCACCTTGTGGTGTTTTCAGTGCTTCGAAACAGTGAATCATTTTGCAAGCAATTGGTTGAAAGTTTTAATTTTTTATTTTTAAATAAGGGTATTTATTGTAATTGCATGTATCCACATTTCAATTTGTTGTATTTATAAAAAAAAAGTCAACCTGAATATAGTTATGTACTAATAAATATAATTTTTTTGAATGTGTGTTGATAATACTGTTGAAAAATAGCATATATTTGTTTGGCTATTAAATTAACTTTTCACTTGATCAGTAAAGAACTTGTTTTACTCTAATATTCAATAATTTCATATTAACAGTTCACTCGTTGGTTTTGAAAGAAATGGATCTTAAGTTCAGTGAGTCAGTACTGTTGAAACCGCTCAGACAAATTTATGAAACAAAGAGTTTCACTTTTTGTTTAGGTGAATGTCATTGGCCTGTCAGTGTGCACCCGTGAGGCATACCAGTCCATGAAAGAACGAAATATTGATGATGGTCATATCATTAATATTAACAGGTACAGGAATGTTTTATTAGACTTTTTGCCTGTATTCAGATTCCAGCCTGTGCTGGGCCAACAAAACTTTTAATATATTTGTATGTTTTAGCATGAGTGGACACCGGCTCGTCAACAATGCCGATATACACTTCTACACCGCCAGCAAATATGCAGTGACGGCTCTCACAGAAGGTTTGAGGCAAGAGTTACGAGAGGCCAAAACCCACATACGTGCCACGGTAAGCGCAGGAGGATCAGGATTTGCTTCTGCTGAACACTTTATTTATGTAATATGATTACTGCATGTACAAAGACTTGTTGGCACTAAGTGTTCTCTCTCTTTAACAGTGTATTTCTCCTGGTTTAGTGGAGACCGAATTTGCCTACCGACTCTTAAGTAAAAACCAAGAAAAAGCTGCTGCTACTTATAAAAGTATAAAGGTATAGACCAATTCTGATTCCTTTCTATACAACATGTTGAAGGTCATCATTTACATGTTTAAATATTACAGTGCCTACAAGCAGCTGACATTGCAAACGCAGTGGTGTATGTCCTGAGTGCTCCTCCTCATGTTCAAGTAAGCATTATGCATCACTGGAGAAAACAGTATTGTGCTGTTAGTGTTTGCTGACATTGTTCATGTAAATAGGCAGTTTACAATCAGTTTTAGCAGTGTATGGTAGGTATTTAAAATTTCATGATTAAATTCTTATATAATGTTTTTCCTTTCCCATTTCTAGATTGGTGACATTCAGATGAGGCCTGTGGAGCAGTTGACATAAACTGAACAGAGAAACTGGAGGAAGCATCTCTGACATCCTTATCTTAATAGCCCATGAATAGCATAAAATATGAAATGTAGAGCTGACAATAGCCACAAGAATGTCCCATACATTTTTTCTGCACTCCAAATCTTTGAAATGACTTGATGATAATAATACAATTTTTATAATAATTGTTTTGTATATATTAAAAAGACCAAATTAATATTGGAGAAATTATTTAAGAAGTACAGAGCGCACTTTGCATCAAGTACTGATGCAGAATCACTAGAATTTATTTTGCTTGACATCATAATAATTGACTTCTTGAATGAACATTTACAGATCTGATGATGCTTTACAAATTTCTGTTCAATTCTGTGACTGCAGTTCTGACCTTTTAATATTTTTAAGTGAGATATTAGCTCATTAAAAAAAATGTTTCTATTTTCTTCTTAAAGTGTATTTGATTAAACTAACAAATCGCTACTTTTCAAGTCAAGGAGGAAAAAATATTGCTTTACAAACATGGCTGAGGACTATAGACCCCAAATAACTGAATTTGCAATAGCTTTTATCTAAATAAATAAATCAAAATAAATCAAACGTTATGTATGGATATTACTAGTGGCTACCTGTTAAGTTCCGTATCAGTTACAAAATATTATTACTTGCCTATAAGGCCCTTAATGGGTTAGCTCCTGCGTACCTAACTAGTCTTCTACCACGCTACAATCCATCACGCTCCCTAAGGTCGCAAAATTCTGGACTTTTGGTAGTACCTAGGATATCAAAGTCCACTAAAGGAGGTAGAGCTTTTTCGCATTTGGCTCCCAAACTCTGGAATAGCCTTCCTGATACCGTTCGGGGTTCAGACACACTCTCTCTGTTTAAATCTAGATTAAAGACACATCTCTTTGGCCAAGCATTCAAATAATGCATCTCATAATCTTTTACTGCAGTCATAATCTTTTACTGCAGTTATATCTAATCAAATGCACATTATTATTCGTTAGTTTGGGTTAAACAAATCATTTTTGCTTGGTTAGAACAGCAGCTACGCTAATTATGTCTCTATTCGTTTCTCTGTTTTTTGCACAAGCTTTAGTCTGGATCCAGAACACCTGAGAAGAGATGATACAAC